TGATTGATTGATTGATTGATTGGTGAGGGCGCAGTCGCCCCGGGCGTTGATGAATGCATCAAAATTATGTGGACGAGGACAAGCGCCTTGACGACGCTGATCCAGTTTAACGTCGACCCATTGAGTGCCATAGATCATAAGGAGGCGCTGGGAAAACTAGGGCATCAGCTACGCTCCCACACTTGCGTGCTCGACTTGTGCGGAACTGTGGACCGTGCGCAATGGGACTCTGGGGCATTCGCGTCTCTGAGTGACTTGCTGGGCTTCCTTTGTCAGGACTACCGGACATTGGTGGTATTCGTTCCCTGCTTGTGGAACCTCTCCTTCATGACATCTTTGTCTGCGCTTGGGGCTACCCGATGCTACACGGGGAAGTGGGTTCGGAAGACGGCAACGAAGAAGACGCATCAGTTCGGAAACAGCGTCTGGGAGGAGCCGAATGTGATGCACATCCTTTTCAAAGGCGAGGATCCTCGGCTACTGACTCACCCGGTGTACGAGGGCGCTGTTGCTGAAGACGATGCTGCCGCTCTCCGGAGGAAACAGAAAGTGACACCCACGGATGTGGAGGAGAACTCTTTCAAGTCCTTGACTTTCGCGGACATCGAAAACATGACCCAGAGGGGGGCTCTGTACAAGGAAGGTGAGCGGAATCCGAATCAATTATGCAATCAGCTTCTTTTCTTCTGTGGTGTGGCGGATGCCGTGCTGTTCTTGGGCAAGCCGCAAGCGCAGGTGGTGTAGAGTCTGCTTCAGCAGGGAAGGCACGTCTTGGCCGTGGATGGGGACACAACGCAGCTCGAATACACCGTGCAGTATGTCACCCATGAAGTGTCGTCCAAGGCTCACCCATGCGATTTCCACCATGTCGTGGTCGAGCCCGTTTATGACCCGAACAAGGACATGTTCTTCAAGTTGACTCCGAAGAAAAGGCGCCAAGTCTATTCCTTCCTTTACTGCGAACAACCAAGGTTGAGATTTGACTCGCAGTACGTGGTGCGGAAGGAAGTCGCCATTGCGGTCCTCCAGGGCTACCATGGAGCGAGTCCGGCCGGCGCTGTGAACTTCATTAAGAGGCAGGAATATCTGTTTTTTAACGAGAATGTTGTCGATCCGGCCGACTTCACTTTAGATAACTACAAGCTGGCACTCGGTGAGGAGGACGACTTCAATATCGAGACTGAGCAGGAGGAGAGCGTTGAGGACGACCTCTTCGATTTGGACGGGCAATTGACCATCTTCAACGCCTTAGTTTCTGAGTCGCCGTCAGTATGCAAACCGGGGACACCTCTCGCTACACCCACCTCGGGCGGCCCCACGCCTGTGTCCTCCTCAGCGCAAGTCAAGAGGGGTGGGTTGTCCCGTCTGAGGAGTTCGCCGGGGGAGCCTATTCGTCTCACACAGCAGCCCGAACGTCTTCGACCCGGCCATCCAGTTCCTCCGGACCATCCGCATCTCAAGGCTCCTGCGACTCCCTTCCACATGGGCAACAAACACACCTTCTCCACAGCCGAAGATTGAGGCCATAATATTGTGTGGCACCCAGACCATTTCCAGCCAGTCCTTCTCGACGGCGAATGGGCAGTGGTTGTGAGGGACGTAAGTGGAGGGTGGATATATGACGATCGTTGGGAGCTCGAGACATTCAAATCTCGCGCCTACGATGCGGTTTTGAAGAGATTAAGTGAGGTCAATCGATGAAGTAAGGACGCCCCTGCTCTGCGCGAAAACGGGGACACGCTGTTCGATTTATTGCAGTCAAATAAATGGCTGGAAGTGTCCTCCGCGTTCTACACCCTTCCGTCAAGCCCGTCAATTACGCAAGTGAGTTGGGAGTTGCCTGCGGGCACCCCACTGGAAGGAGTTGTGAAGCGCAAGTCTCGCGGAAAGGACGGCGAAGGGGATGGTGAAGGCGGCGGGCAACGAGGTACCGGAGGTGGAAGTGAACAGCGTTCAACGAAACAGCGGTCTCCGGGGCACGCACGCGGCGGAGAGGGGAAAAAGGGCAGCCAGGAGAAGAAAAAGCCTCGCAGCGGAGAGAAGACAAAGCATCACACAGGAGACGGTCAGGGGTCCGATGTCGACTGCGACGAGGACAGTGGGGTTCTGGCGGTGACAGGCAGCACCTCAATGGAGACGGGGAACGACTTCAGGCATGGGTGGATTACAGGGCCTGGCGAGCTGGACCCTGTGATTAGCTCCATCAGCGCAACACAGTATACCGCTGCTGTTGGCGGGGCTGTTCTAGCTAAGAATGGAACTTGCTTCGCTCAGCTCCAAAAACGGTTGGCCGATTGTCTCGGATCTATCCGAACCTCGGAGACGACATCGTCGTCCGGAACTCAGTGCCTTCCGGGAAGCGAGACGACAACATACCACAGATTCGACAACGACAAGGTCCAACCATGTTCGGTTTCGCCTCAAAAGGAAGTTCGGATTAATCCGAACCCAGAAGCCAGTACTGCTGAGAGAGCACAGCGGTCTGCGGAACTCGAACGGGTGGTCCGGGATTCCGAAAACCCTGGCGGCGAAATTCGGATTCATCCGAACCAGGAGGACGTGTCCGCCATGACAGACGACCGGTGTCAGGACACCGTCATGCTGTGCATGGAAGTCCACAAGGAGTTGCAGGCAGAGTGTCCGACTGAGGGTGAGTTAGCGACCAGTTTGAATGTCGAGCCCCGCACACTCAGAGCCGAATGCCTGGTGACGGTACACGCTGAGTTAGCAGTCTTAAGCGACTCTCCGATGAAAGCGGACACGTCGTCGCCGTTGGAAACTGCAATGGCTCGGATGAATCCGAACCAGGGCCCTGTGAGCATGTCCCTCCCTGATGCATCTTTGGAGACGACCGCAATTCGGATTCATCCGAGACACACGGATGAAGGACTTGACGGTTGTCGACTTCTGACGACTTTGGACAAGGACGATTCCGCCGACGACCGGATTGATCCGACACTCGGTGATGTCGGGATGGAACAACCAGTTCAGCCGGCATACGACGACCCCTTGTACTCCGGCCTTCACGACGAGGCGATGGGAGAGGATGTTCTGAAGAAGTCCTCTGACGCTGTTGGAGATAGATTTCTCTATTTGAGTGACGACGATAAAGACACAGCGCACGAGGACAAGAAGTTAAGGGGGGGAGAGGTGTTATTGGACATCCATGGGACCTTGAGCACAACACAATGCGACACAGTGGCGACAGAGGAAACCCAACATGTCGATGTTCTGGACGTCGACGCTCTTTGTCCGGAGACGGACAAACTAAAATTGCCCGTCGCGGACGTGGAGGATTTCTGCCATCGGGATGGGGATGAATTCATATCGTCGCCGGTCATCGACGCCGATATCTCGAACCTGTCAAGTTTCCCTGTGAGTTTGGAGCACGTCGTCGCCGCGTCGACGTGCACGGGGGCGCCAATCATGCTGGGACTGCCATCGGTGGGCTCTTGTGACGTTGAAGCTAAGCCTGGTAAGCACTGTCTTCCTTTGCTTGCTTCCCGCTCGTCAGCCCGTTCGTGAAGTGTTGTTTGCTTCGTCGATTTGGAGGAGGTGTGTACGCGGGCGCCAACTGGATTTGACGATGTGCTTCGTGAGGTGTTGTTTGCTTGGTTGCTCTTGCGAAGTTGTGTTGTTGATCTCCTGCTGAACTGTCAAGGTGGCTATTTCTTGTACAGGTCGACGAGCTCGTGGACAAACACACATGTCGCAGGAGCCGCCTGCCCTCGCCAGGTTGTCAGTCCTAGTTGCGGGAGGCACTGGTCGTCGCAATGTCACTGATTCGTTTCCTGGGGAGACTAAACCTCGGGGCCCTCCCAGAAGGGTAGCCGTGCCCGTATTGGGCCCTCGCGCTAGACTCGTTGCAGAGGCAGCGGGTGTTGCCGAAAACGACTGCAAGGAATTCCTTCTCGAGGCTTGCAGGATATAAAGAAGGACAGTGCTAGTTTAGAATCAGCTGTGTGTGGAAGGTCCAGAAGTAGGGGTGACGTTATGCGTGAACTTTTCGGGCCACAGAGTAGCAGTTCGTCGAACCATGGCCGCTAGGACGGCATTTTCTCATAGTGCGCCATCCTTTGTGCTTGCTGTGTGCTGCGAATGTTTGTTGAACAGGGTTTCCTCGAGATGGAAGAGCAGTCCTTGAAGACGTTATCTGCTCCCAGTTGCCGCTCACTGTCATCGTTGCGCGTTTGTCGTCGCACAATTTACAGGTTTCCGTCAAGGACATCGTCGCACTTGTGGATGGATCCGGGGAGCTCAACGATGAGGTCGTCAATTTCTACATGGCGATGCTACTGGACGACTGCGGCCGGACTACTGCTACCAAGAAGACGTACACCTTTAACTCTTTCTTCGCCTCTACACTGCTTCTGCGAGGTCCAGCAGTTGTTTGCAGTTGGGCTAAAGATGTGGACTTCCTGTCTCATGACCTCGTCTTGGCACTAGTGCACAAGGACGGCGAGCACTGGAGCCTTTTGGCCATTGACTTCTCTATACGTGTTTTGGAAATCTATGATTCTTTCTCATGTTCGCCATCCAAAGATGACTTCTACTCCGCACTTTTAGATAAATCTGTTAAATTTTTGAACACGGTGGCAGGTGCCGCCGGTGATAGTCGCACTTTTAACCACTTCGCTCACGAGGTCAGCGTGAAAGGTGTCCCTCGGCAGCACGACGGGGCTAGTTGTGGGGTGTTCATGTTGATATTCGCTTCCTGTTTGGCGAGAGGTTTACGTCCACCTTTTGGTTTCTCCCATAGACACATCTCCTCTATCAGAGCTAGACTAGCTTTGGCGATTTGCGATGTTGGTAGGTAAGTGTCTATCTTTTTGTTGATCATGTAGTGTGGAAGGGTTGACTTTGAAGAACATTTCGTTCTTCTCCGGACGAAATTTGTTCCTTTTCATTTTTTCCGTGAGAGACTGGTGGGTGTTCTCGGTTTGGTTCGGAGCAGAACTGGCTGTCACTGCCAGGATATCCCTGGGTTAAATTGTCATGTCCCCGGCGTGTTTGTCGTCGACAATATTGTTCTTTCTCATTGGCTTTATATTCTCACGATCGTCCCCGTTGTTCGGGCGCCTGTTTCGTGATTGACTTTCTCACTTTCGTCATTTTGTGTCTTGTGTGGTGTGATGTTCTGCCCGCATACTCGGATGCATCCGAACTCCAACTGTCTCTATGCTTTTCTGCCTCTCTCTCGAACCTTCCCCGTCGTCTACACTCATCTATGCATTTTCACTTTGAAGGTCGTGAGGCATCACAGAGAAGAAAATACAACACAAGGGCCTCTTTATACATTTCATGGCCCGTCTGGCCCTCCGCGCTGGGTGCTTTTGATGGCCCGAATATACAACACAAGGGCCTCTTTATACATTTGATGGTCCGTCTGGCCCTCCCCGGCGGGTGCTATTTGATGGTCCGAAAATACAACACAAGGGCCTCTTTATATATTTGATGGT